TGCAACCATTCCACCGTAGACCACCATTGGAGATGAGAATTAAAGGGATTAGATGACAACAAGGCTGCTAATTGTTATGGCAAGTTACAAAGTGATGACCCTCCACTAGTCATATCCCATTTCACCAGTGATGGAGACAGTGCCGCTGCATCTGGTGCATCTGAAAAACATTTAGGACATATGAATGAAAACCTTAAAGAATTGCATCACTTCTTTGACTCTAAAAGAATGGGAAAATCGCAGCATTGATAAGGCCGAAAAAAGGGGCCTTATTTATACAGGAAAAGTTTACTGTGACAATTCACACAAAAAAATGTATTCCTCATAATACCAGAAAATAAAATTATTTGCAACTTTAAACTGTATTAGCATAATAAACAACAATAAAACTTATTAAAGTTGCTCATTAAATCCCACACAGCTGGTTATAAACAAATCATTGATCATGATGAACTTGTCAACAAGACATCATTTTTACCTGATGTTATTTTGGTAAAAATGACATACTTCATTTAGGCAGATTGAAGAATTTATTTACAATGAAAATTTAACTAGAAATATGTCCATGGGACAGGAATGCCCCGCTGAGGATATATTAGTAAAGCAACATGAAAATTTGTATGTGTATAACATTTGATCATAATATCTTGAATAGTGATACAGCTGAATTGCTTGTTTGGAAAATATAGGTCAGATCCAGCATCCGAAGTCTAGCAGCATCCCTAGATGCATCACCAAGCAAGTTTGTTCAGGTAGGGCTTATAGTTACTTGGGAATGAAAATATAGCTCAGATCCAGCATCCGAAGCAAGTCTGGTAGTGTCCATCCCTAGATGCATCATCCAGGCAAGTTTGGTTCAGATAGGGCTTATAATTACTTCGGAATGACAAGAGGCCCATGCGGGGGCCGCCCCGGCCTTATAGGTCACCTGAGCATTACGCAACAACTTTCCAGTGATTGAATTTGATTCATGTTTTAATCCAGATGCTATGGCATTCACAATTTTGAAAGAGGTCCCATTGATCATCATAACAATACACTTAGCAGTTGCTTAGTTTGTTTACTTAATACCCATAGGCAGGGTAGGGGAACAAAAAATGCATTTCAAGTAATCAGTAATATTTAGCATAATCAGTAATGCCCCAATCACACATGAACCCCTGACCCTTAGGCCTAGATCCACACATTGCACAATTTTTGAAAAGGCACCCTTGCTTTTCAAAAATATTTGATTAATACCAAGGAGCATATTTCAAACAATTCATCCAGTTTCAGTATATAAGTACAGCCCCCTCCCCTCCTTTATGGTACCCCTGACCCTGGGGCCTTGAAATTCACAATTCTGGAAGATTAGTACCCTTGCTCATCATAACTACATAAGTAGTTCATCTGCTTAATACCAAGGAGCCAGAAGAAAACTTTCAAAGATTCAATGTATTTTCACTATATAATCAATAGAGCCCCTCCCTATCACTAGAACCCCTGACCCTAAGACCATAAAATTCCAGTTTTGGAAGAGGTATTCTTGCTCATCATAACTTTGTAATTAGTTTATTTCATTCCTAGGAGCAGAGAAGAAGATTTTCAAAGAATTCATGTATTTTCACTATATAATCTATAAAGCCCTGCCCTAACACCAGAACCCCGACCCTGGGGCCATAAATTTCACAATCTTGGTAAAAGCACTCTAGCTCATCATAATTATGCACTTATTTAATTTATTTAATACCCAGGAGCAGAGAAGAAGATTTTCAAAGAATTCATGTATTTTCACTATATAATCTATAGACCCCCCCCTAACACCAGAACCCCTGACCCTGGGGCCATAAAATTCACAATTTTTGTAGAGGCACTCTTGCTTATCAGAACTATGTACTTAGTTAGTTTATTTAATACCCAGGAGCAGAGAAGAAGATTTTCAAAGAATTCATGTATTTTCATTATATAATCTATAGACCCCCCCCCCCTTACACCAGAACCCCTGACCCTGGGGCCATAAAATTCACAATTTTTGTAGAGGCACTCTTGCTTATCATAACTATGTACTTAGTTAGTTTATTTAATACCCAGGAGCAGAGAAGAAGATTTTTAAAGAATTCATGTAATTTCACTATATAATCTATAAAGCCCCACCCTGACACCAGAACCCCTGACCCTGGGGCCATAAAAGTTAACAATTTTGGTAGAGGCACTCTTGCTCATCATAATCATGTACTTAGTTAGTTTATTTAATACCCAGGAGCAGAGAAGAAGATTTTCAAAGAATTCATGTATTTTCACTATATAATCTATAGAGCCCCCCCCCCCTACACCAGAACCCCTGATCCTGGGGCCATAAAATTCACAATTTTGGTAGAGGCACTCCTGCTCATCATAACAATGTACTGAGTTAGTTTATTTAATACCCAGGAGCAGAGAAGAAGATTTTCAAACAATTCATGTAATTTCACTATAATTATAATCTATAGAGCCCCACCCTTTCACCAGAACCCCTGACCCTGGGTCCATAAAATTCACAATTTTGGTAGAGGCACTCTTGCTCAACATAACTATGTACTTAGTAGGTTTATTTAATACCCAGTAGCAGAGAAGAAGATTTTCAAAGAAATAATGCATTTTCACTATAAACTTATTTGGCCCCGCCCTAGCACTAGAACCCATGACCCCAGGGCCATGAATTTCACAATTTTGGTAGAGGACTCAATGCTGATTACAATTATGCAAACAGTTTGACTGCTTGATGTCCAGGAGTAAAGAAGAAGATTTTTAAAGATTGCACTAATTTTAGTGGTTTTTGCCCCACCCCCCAGGCCCCAGGGGGGCAGGGACCATGAAATTCACAATTTTTGTCCCCCTTTACCCATAGATGCTATGTGCCAAATTTGGTTGAAATTGGTTCAGTGGTTTCAGAGAAGAAGCTGAAAATGTTCAAATGTTAACGCACGACGCACGACGAACGACGGACGACGAACGACGACGGACGAAAAGTGATAGCAATAGGTCACCTGAGTTTACTCAGGTGACCTAAAAATTTAGGTTAGATCCAGCATTCAAAGCAAATCTGGTAGTGTCCATCTCTAAATGCATCATCCATGCAAGTTTGTTACAAGTAGGGCTTATAGTTCCTTAGTAATGGACCTGCTCCAAAAACTTTAACCTGGTCACTCATCTGAAAAATGTTGGTCAGATCCAGCATCTGAAGCAAGTCTGGTAGTGTTAATCCTGAGATGCATCATCCGTACAAGTTTGTATCAACGTGTTAAGTTTGATAACGCCATCTTGAATGGTATGCTTAAAACTGAACTAAACACTAATTTAAGAAAAGTGGGGTCAGAGCTAAACGCAAAGTGTGACGGAAGGAGAGAAGGATGGAAGGACAGAAGGACGGAAGACGGACATGAAAAACAGTATATGCCCCGGCCATATTCCTGGCGGAGCATAAAAATGTATTTTATTATTAAACAGAATATTTTTAACAGGTTTTAAAAAGGCTATTAATACCAATGTGTATTGCCTATGTTTAGTTTGATTATATAATTAAATACTATCAAGAGAATAGATTTAATTAATTCTGCCATGCTTTTGTGTACAGGGTAGGCATATTAAATATTGATATGCCTGGCATTAAATCGCCTTTTGCAAGGGCATACACTAGATAGATTTTAACCATTTTTCGAACATAAATAAAGAATATTTTCCTTAACAGAAAGTACAAAGTATGCTGAAATAATTACTAGCTTGAAATTTTAATTTTAACTATTTATGAGGTATGCCCTTATGATACTGACATTTGTTATTGACTTGCATTCAGTACACAAACTTTGCCTTTTTCATGTGACTGTTCATTGACAGGACGTACCAAACTTCATACAGTACAGAGTGGATTATATTATGCTATTTCCATAAGTACTTAATAAGTTCTGTGCTAATAAAACAGTTTAATAAAAATAAATTCAGTTTTGAAAAGGCCCCGTGTTTTGCACATCTATTTCCTGTTGATTTCTCCTTAACAGTGCTGCAATATGGAGATATCGCATATTATTATATAGTCTATTTATAGTCCCTATATAATTATACCGCAAACAGTTCATAACACTACATATTCACTGGATTTTAATTCACCGGAGGGTCACTGTTTGTGACACAATCAAAACCTTAAACAACGTTGTAAACAATTGTGGCCGTATTCACCGGAGGGTCATTGCGCGTGCAGCTTCATTGTGACTTCATAATCAATACTTTAAACAACGTTGTAAACAATGGTTGCAACGGCCACAGCGAGCTTCGTATCTGAGCAGGAAAAATATTATACAAACTTATTTCAGGATTATTTTTAAACATTTGGACGTCTTACAAGGTGAAACTCGGAAAGAAAACACGGAGTTGACAAACTATAATCTTGGCATTTTTTTAAACGACGGACGTTAGTAAATGAAAGTGGTGTCGTTATTCAATCTTCAATGTCTTATTTATTCAAATTCGGACTATATAATAAAACAATTATGGACTCTTTTGGTGTTGAATATGGTTTGTTACACCAGAAAAATATCCATGTTGCCTAAACAATAACAAACCATATTCAACACCAAAAGAGTCCATAATTGTATAATATTGTCTATCTATATTTCCTATTTATATAATCTATACAAGCACAAACAGTTCAAAATACTACATATTCACTGGAGGGTCAGTGCGCGTGCAGCAGCATTGTGACATCACAATAAACATCTCAGACAATGTTGTAAACAATGGTTGCAACAGCCTCAGCCAGCTTATTTATGTATCATCGGAGGCCCTAAATTCGTTACGGTCCTAGAGTTGTGCACCTTTTATTTTTCTTGAATATCTTGCAAGATTTTGACCCCTACTGCACTACATTGTCAGAAAAAATTATTTGGATTGATTTTGTCATATTTTAAAGCTGCTGAAGATGATATGGACAAAAGTAGGCAAAAGTATATAACCAGAAACAAAAATTCCCCTTTCTTAACATAAATCCGCTATACTGCACATGTTAAGAAAGAAAACATTTGATATTTTTTTCTTACGTCCTATCTCAAGTGTGTTGGTGCTATGGCACACATTATTTATATAAAGTCAACAAAAGTCACATGTCCGATTTGGAATTTTTGGGTCTGTATTACGTAATTTCCACTAAGGTCACGACCCTAGGACCTTTGTTTCAAAATGGCGTTGGGTAAACATAGGTCATTGAATGAGATGTAGACAATCAATAAAGGCATGAATTTTTTTAAAACTATCAGTTTAATTGAAAGAAAAAATATTTACAACTAAAGTATGACTTATGAAAGGAAACAGTATCTCAAATTTATTTTGACATCGGACATTAGCTCATTTAAAGGTTACGACTCATGGACCTCCGAGGATATCTGCAGAGCAGGAAAATTGTTAGACAAACCTATCACTGTATTATTTAAGTTATGACAGTTAATGTCATTGTATCAACCTTAAAACTTACAAAATAACTTAAATGAGACTGCTGATATTCTTGTTTTATCAGCAACTTGTCAATAATTTACTGTTAATGTTTTGGAAATTGTACATATTTGCATAGCAAATAAACTGAGAGATTTTAAACCCTTTTGCAGGTGATGAAGGTATATTGCTGTGTAAGTAAGGGAAATTGATGATTGAAAAGTTAAATTCATCACGTTTATCATAAAGCTTTGTTGTTAGATAACCGTTAACATCTTTTCAAGTAAAATATCCAATATGAAAAAGATGTGACAGACTTGGAAAACAGACTGCTAAGGCTCCATTCAGCAGTCACATGTTTCCAGGAAGAACCAAGGCCATAGGAAATCTGTGCCGAGAAGAGTTACCTTAGACCTGATTAGCTTCCATGCAAGACTATGAGCTAAAATTGCTACAAATACTACTCCGGAGACTTACCTTTGATGAAGCAATTGCTATGTCTACTGCAGTTGGCTCTATTGTAAGCTGCAGCTACCAAAGACAATGTGGAAAGTCCTGTCAACTTTATTCCTTTTTCTGTTGTGGACTGTAAAACAAGAAATGGAAATTTTCATGTTGCCTAGTGACTTTGAATTATACATGACAGAAGAAGACAATTAAATGTTTGTTAAAATACTGTATAAATTTGATTTTAGGACCAAGTAATATTGAAAGAACAAGAGATGTTCGTAAAACACTCATGCCCCCTCCCCCCAATGGAACTTTTCTAGGTCCAAAAGGGCATTACTCTGTCAAAAATGGTGTGATTGAACCCAAAACAGAACTTGAACAAGATATTTATCTGATAAATCTGTATATCAAATTTGATTTCCATATGTGCAACAGTTGTGAAGTAATTGATGAACGGAAACTACAAATAATTAAAAATTTTCTAAGTCAAAGGGGCATCACTCTGTCAAAAATAGTGCGATCGTATCCAAAACATAATTTGATCTAGATATTCATGTGATATGTCTGTATACCAAATTTCATTTCAGTATGTGCAACTGTTGCAAAGAAAATGAACGGAAACTAAGTGGACCGACAGACAGACCGACCGACAGACAGCAGCAAAGCAATATGCCCTCCATTCTTCAAAGGGGGGCATAATTAAATATCATACTTGTACACAAAAAATCTGAATTTGTAAATAGGGCATATTTAAAATCAAATCCAAAATGTATTACAAGTAGTAGAAATTTTGAAAGTAGAATACATAAAGTTGTGCACTCACTGAATAGGGGTCATGGAAACTCAACACTGGAACTTTGTGAATCTGTAGGGGCACCTGTTGTAAAAGGAAGTAGAGTGGTCCATCATCTAAAACAACAACAAAATTACTTTAAAATGAAACAATAACTTTTTAAATATAAATCTCAAAGAAAATACTATAAATCTCAATAATATTAGCTGTATGATAAAAATTCAAGAGTATGCTTCCATTAAATCATTAACAGATCAAAAATTAAAAAGGAAGCTACAATATGTTGCTATGTTTTATTTATAATGCATGTTTCTTTTCAACTGTGTAAATGGGTAAAATGTAGACATGTAAATAATGAATTATCATTCCCTTACCAATGAAACCAGAGGGGACTATAGGTTTCCTCCGGGTCTGTCCGTCCAAAGGTACAAATTAAGGTATGTTACAAGTGATTGGTAGAATACAGGTATACAGGTGTCCAAACTCTCTGTTGATAACCAGACAGGTATGTTACAAGTGATTGGTAGAATACAGGTATACAGGTGTCCAAACTCTCTGTTGATAACCAGACAGGTATGTTACAAGTGATTGGTAGAATACAGGTATACAGGTGTCCAAACTCTCTGTTGATAACCAGACAGGTATGTTACAAGTGATTGGTAGAATACAGGTATACAGGTGTCCAAACTCTCTGTTGATAACCAGACAGGTATGTTACAAGTGATTGGTAGAAATACAGGTATACAGGTGTCCAAACTCTCTGTTGATAACCAGACAGGTATGTTACAAGTGATTGGTAGAATACAGGTATACAGGTGTCCAAACTCTCTGTTGATAACCAGACAGGTATGTTACAAGTGATCTCTGTTCTCTGTTGATAACCAGACAGGTATGTTACAAGTGATTGGTAGAATACAGGTATACAGGTGTCCAAACTCTCTGTTGATAACCAGACAGGTATGTTACAAGTGATTGGTAGAATACAGGTATACAGGTGTCCAAACTCTCTGTTGATAACCAGACAGGTATGTTACAAGTGATTGGTAGAATACAGGTGTCAAAACTCTCTGTTGATAACCAGGCAGGTATGTTTCAAGTGATTGGTAGAAATACTGTCCATTTTTTGTTTAACTCTCTGTTGATAACCAGACAGGTTGTTACAAGTGATTGGTAGAATACAACATTTTGAACTCTTGTTGAGTACCAGACAATTTACAAGTGAAAATTTTAAATTTTAGGTATAATTGTCCAAACTCTCTGTTGATAACCAGTACAGGTATGTTACAAGTGATTTTGGTAGAATACAGGTATAACTCTGTTGATAACAGTATACATTTGATAAACTAATGTTACCAGACAGGTATTTATAATGATAAAATAAAAAAAAAACAGTAGAATACAGGTTTTTTTTCTTTGAACCAGACAGGTATGTGATTGGTAAAAAATTGTCTCTCTGTTGATAAAAGACAGGTATGTTACAATTGATTGGTAGAAAGATCTTATTCTTAACTTCACAAAAATTTGAAATCAGAATCTAAAAATACACCTTATGTCAGCTTTAAAGAAATGTTTGATAACCAGACATCCTATACCCAAAATACAATGAAGATCCTTGACCCTTTGACCTTGACCTGGCTGAGATTGACTTACTTTGAAAAAGCAAACTTGACCAAACTTTTAAAGTGGGTATTACATGTTGACAAACAGCCTATAACACCATCTCTGTTACAAATTAAACGATTGGTATAATGAAAAAAAACTATTGTTGGATAATTGACCTTTTGCTAAAAATGTGAAAACCTTTCAACATTAGTAGTTAAAATTTCACAATACAGGGTAATAATTAAATTTACAATAAAAGCTTAATGTTGCTATGTTGCCATACTGTTTTAAAACACATCTCTGTTGACTATAGACTTGTCCAAAGCAAAAATTCATGAAAAATAAAATAAAAGATTTTTTTTAAAAATTTGAAATAGAATTAAAAATACACCTTTAGTGATTAATTTTGACTGGTAGAATTTTACCCCAAAATACTTTTTACATGTTGACAAACTGACAGGTTCTGCTTCAACTTCACCTGCAAAAAAAATTCAGAAATTCTGCTAAATAATGATATTCCTAGTTTGATTATGAATACAGAAAAAAAAGATGTGTCATAAAAATACTGTACAGGGGATTAATTTCTTCACGTTTTTCTCTCATCTGACATGACTTAATGTTACATAATAAAAGTTGCTTCCCTTGTCTACATCTGTTTAATCCATACTGGTCATAGCAACATGTAAACGACATCAATCAGCGTTATGTCTTTATTTCATGAACAGGGTAGGTTAATATAAAATTGTTAGATTTAATAATAATTATAAATTAAAACAAGTGCAGTTATTAAAAGTTCTTCACTCTTGTCAAATGACTTTCCTATAGATGCTATTATGATGAGTGCATGTGCACCCAGGATCTTCAATTCAATTAACGTGGCAAAAAACTAAAAACGAAAAATAAATGTGCTTATGTAGTTCGACGAAATAATATCCTTCAACATCTTTAGTAAGTTTGATATTTATTTGAATGATTTTTTTAAAACCAAAATGTCGATAAAAACCAATATGTTTTGATTGAGGACAAACACAATTTATTATCTGCTGATTTGAATTAAAGTAAACTGTGATAATTAAATGACAAGTACTACTTGTAATTACTAAAATGGCCAATTATGTATATGCATATCAACCTATTGTAGTCTTTTCTCAAATTTCCAAATAAAACATGGAGATTATTGAAAATTTGTTCACAGTTTCTTGAATTCACAGATTTATTAACACCGTAAATATAGCGAATATTAACAACGCGAGTTATTTACCCCTATACAGTAGTCTCTTTGCATATATGATTACAATTGACAAAGTTCATTTTGATTGGCTGTTTCCTTGTATAAAGATTTATATAGCTATAAGAAGGGTGTCAGTACAGATCAAATTATGTCTGAATCAACACCAGTCCTGTATCTTATGCACTGTCAAAGACTATGGTAATTATCTAAAAACTTTTCCCGTAAAAATGTAGTACCTTTGGCACTGATCATCAGGCAGATGTATTTGGACATGATTGGTTTAAATGGCTTCTGTCCTCCGGAATGTAGTACTTTCTGGACATCACCTGGACTTGGGGTCCCTCCAGGATCTAAAATATATTCTTCTTTCTTATAATTCATGAAATGATGGATTACTGCATATGCAGAAGTTTTAGCAGGGAGCTATTTCAATATATATAGCAATATTTAAGATTGAAGTTTTGGTATTACTTATGAAGTTGAGATAGCTAAATTTGAACATAACTAACAATACATTCCACTTACAATTTACATACTATTGTGCATCTAGGCATCATTAAATTGATAAAATTTGAATCTTATTTCTAATATTAATCATAATATCTTAATTGATTGCCTTTAACTTTACAGAAAAGGTCAATTTGCAAGATAAATTTAACTGCATAAAAACTTCATGTTCTAGGTATTCAGAACTTCCTTATTATTAGACAGAAACATACTGGCAAAAACTGGGTATGGCTTTATCTTCTTGGACAGGGGATGCTCACTCCTCCATGACACCTGATCCCATCTCTGGTGTTTTGGAGGTCCATGTTGGCTCTTGATCTGCCCTTGATTCGTATTATCTATTTGTACTGTTCTTTATCTCCACGTCTAATATATTCCATTTTCTTTGCCTTTTCTTCCACAGTAATGGCATTATGTCTTAGATAAATTATAATAATTTGAACATAATATAACATCACACATCCAAGATTCACTTCGACCTTGATGGTTGTCTTTGTTTAAACAGTGGCCGACATTTACAGTTTTCTTTCAAGGGCACCTATATATGTAATAATTTTCTCCACTCAGTGGTATATCAATTTTTTAGTAAACTCATATAACATACAGAAAATGCTTATTCAGAGTACAAATTATTATGCTATATTCCAATCAAATGTCAAATATAGTATACATTCCAATAATCTTAGATCATGTGTGCATAAAAATAATGTGTGCAATATAAATTATAAATTTAGTATGTGATCAGATATCTGTATATGTATATCATAATAAACAGTTTAATTATAACGATAATGCTAATTCTTAATTTTGTCACAATGGTAATTATGAAGTACAAGATCAGATTTACATATATATATATAAACTACAAAGTCAAGTCAGGAAGAATTACAAGTGTCAATTTGCAAATAAGAAAATAGTTACTGAAAGCTGAGCTAGGCCAATATATTCTTAGCAAACAAAGACAGCGTTATCAGTGAGTCAACATTTTATTGTGATGGACATAATTTTTCTTAAACTTTATTATAAGTATTAACATGAGAACAACACTTCTTATCAATAAGTTTCCAACATGATGAAAATATGGACATTCCATTACATAATGAAATTCATCCCTAAAGCATTTTTATTACAAATTAATCAAATTACATATTCTTAAAGATCTACCAGTGTCAATTGGAAGTTTGAGGTTACAAGTTTAAAATTTAAATTAATTGTTAATACAATTCATAAATATTTTTATCTATGCTCATAATTATGCCAATCTTGTAAAAAATTGACCTAATAGTATTTCTTTCATTATGATAATTAAGATTTTATCCATGTAATACTGAATGAAATTTTGATTCATCCACACATAAGACAGACCACACAAAATCAAGATATCTCTTAATATACATTTCAACCATGAGTGCCCAAATAAATCTTCAGAAAGCAATTATGTATGTCAATGTACTCTCATGTAACGTAAAAAATTTAGCCCAATAAGTAATCATTCGTAACTTTGTGCGTATTATTAAACTTTAGAATACCGCCCAGTTTCCCCATACACAAAATTTTTTGGAGTACTTCACTTAACAATTGTAATACAAATTTCTAAAGTCTTAAGTGTACCTTTTCTATGATATCAATGTTTTTGTAGCCCCATACTTCACACCTGTACAACAAAATTGGGCTTATATTTTACTCCCATCAAAATGTTCTATTTGACAATCTAATAGCAAATTGAAACATCTAATTTTTCTAAAAGTATTTTGTACAAGATTTTTGAAGCTTGTTTAGATTAATGTGTTTTTGTACTTCTGCAGAAGCCCTGCAAGACAGAACAATACCTAGAAGTATTCAATTCATTTACAATTTCAATTGGTGCTTCTCTGCACATTTTTTTTAGGGGGGTGTTGTTGGTTTAAGGAGAATTCTTTCTCTAAAAAAAATTACTATCTTTAGTTTTGTCTGTTAAGTTCTTGATGAAAAAAAAACATTATGTAGTTACTGTCTTGAACCTGAATAGCAAAACAATCTATAAAAATTAAATCCAATTTAATGAGAAAATCGATCAGTATTACTGCTTTGAACCTAGAAAAAAAATACAATTACAAAATGTGTCTAAACTATTAAGAGAAAATATATGTATGTTATATTGCTTGGAACCTGAAAACAAAAGACACGATCTATGAAAATAAGTTCCGACATCTATGAGAAAATACATAAATTATATCTCTTGAAGCTAAAAAACAAAAACACACAATCTATAAAATTAGTTCAAAAAATGTAAGTTCCAAAATCAATGAAAAATAAATTATAATTTCTGTCTTGAACCTGTAAGACAAAACACACAATCTTTAAAAAAGTGTTTCAATATTGAAAGTAAATTAATTATCCATCTTCAACATGGAAAAAAAACATAATCTTTGAAAACATCTAATAGCAAAACATTAATTATTGTCTTGAACCTGAAAAATGAAACACATGATTTAGGCAAATTAGTTTCATTTTCTAGGAGAAAATACATGTT